GAATAATGCTAATAAAAACAAAAAGTTCCCATATGAACAAAGTCCATACAAAGTATCAAATAACATGAACAGATTCGCCAAGTATGTTGCTTTGACGTAGTAAACGATAGTTTTTAGATTCTGGAAAGACGCTTATTGTAAGGAATAGTGCGAATGGTTATTTTTCAATTATTATTTTATTTTATCAGAACTACGGTCTATTTTTGATTAGAATATTCCTCGTTGAGTTCATACTAAGCATTGATTCTGAGAAAGTGACATCCATGCCATAATGCAGAACCTAGCAAGGATAAATAAAAGCTTGTGTTTCACTTTGACTGAGATTATTGCTAAGAGTTTGCTTGTTACTTTGGAAATGTGAATTTTCAATCTGTACATTTCGATATTCACATCATTTGGTTGATCCAACCAGCATTTGTTGACCTTCCAATTCAAAGCAGTTCAGCAGAGGGCTTGTGTTGCGTGACACGTTTCATGAATCATTCGGTGTGCTCGTAATGGTTTCGAGAAAGAGCCGTTAAACATTTTGTCCGGCAACGTCGCATCAAACTCCTAGAATCTGAAAATATGCACAACCACTGTCGGGATCAATGGCACAATAATATTTGTAGCCCGGTGATCTTGCAGCACTCCTGCGCTATGTCCGCAAAACTTTTAGGCCTCTACCTTTGACGAAGAAGGATACCCGGAACCATGTCTTTGGAGCATCGTTAATTATTTTTAATATATTGTCTGTAGGGTAGGATAGTGCAAAACTTGCGTATGGAAACTAAAATTAAGGAGCAAGTAATGGTGTATGGTTCATTACCATGTTTTCTACGAAGTTCAAGTGATTTCGAACTACAAAAAGATAATTTTTTTTAAATCGTTTCCAGAATTATAGCGGTGCAAAACGCCTAATTCATGGTGCAATATGCACCACAATATTAGGACAAAACTCACGACAACAATGGCCAAAACGCAGCACAACATTGGGGTAATATGCAGCGCATTATAGACAAACCATAACCCCTGCAAGTGAGAATACAAAGGCATGAGATATTTCAAATGGTTATTCCTTTTAGTTACATCAGTAATCTGGTCTCAATAGAGTGTTACACTGTGATTCATGAAGTAAAACATCTAAAAATATATACCAAAAGTGAATTCGTTCCATTGCTTTGCGATACATGCTGTTAAAAGCTTAATTTTTAGTCGATGATTTTAACAGCTGTGTCATGTTTTGAATGGAATCAGTAGGTCAATATAAGATGTTATGATCTGGAATTATTTGTGAATCCTCTAGTTGAAAACAAACACAATCCGTTACCCGGAAAATGCGTCTAAGGAAAAGTTATCGCTGTTTTTCTATAAGTGGGCATTTAACCCCAGGGGTGCATTATTGGCTGTTCTCCTTTACTGAATGGTCGTCATAGCGACAAGGTGCTGAGTTGCATATGTTGCGATTGAAAAAAAGGATTAACATGATTGCATTCTCATTAACTACTTAAAGAAAGGGAATGACCATTTCCATGCCCCTCAATACTTAAATTGCATTTTTCTGTTGCATGCAGAGAACATCACTATTATCAAAACGAGCAATTATCCTAGCTCCCATATTATCATACAAAAGATGCTAACCACCAGGGCAATCATTTCATGGAACGGATCCTTCACCTTTTGATGCTTATAGCCATATGTGTCACCTGAGAAGCAAATGAATCCTGATGTTTTCTCCAAAATCACTGTGCTCTTTCCCTTAGGTTTTTGGTACGGTGATAGGTAGGTACGTATAATTCACAACCAGCCAGTCCCAGTAGTGGCCAGCATCTCCCAAATAACCGAAAGCAGAAACATTCACACGAGCGATAAACCGCTTGTAATCCGCTCTGTTGATAGAGTCGAGTTTGCTTCTTCTGGCTTCTACTGCAACTTGCTTGTTCTGGCAGCTGCGGGCAGAAAAGGTTGCTTTTGGCATTCCCCTTGCTGACTGCTGGTTGGGGATTAAATTAAGACGAATGATTCTATGAATTACGGGCGGCAACGGGAACACGATTTTACAACATTGTGGGGTCATGTGTGGGTATATGTCGTCATGTGTGAGTGGCTTAGAGAGTGCAAATAAACCCACTGTCACCGGAATCCTGGAGCATGTGGACCGATGGGAAAGAAGTCAAATTGGACGAGAAAATTAGAAAATTCGGGTGTGTACATTTCTGCAAAGCTAGTGAAGGTGGAACTACAGTCGGGTCATGCATATTTAGTTGACTTCGGAGAGATTCTTGTCACAATTACTAGCTACATGAAGAATGTGGATGGAAGGTATTAGGCACATTCAAGGTGACAAAACAAAGTAACTATGATTTACTTTGTAATGCTGTTGCAGGTAAAACTCTGCTTGATGTGACAACGCGACCTAAAAACAGCATTCTACTCTTAATCTATTTTTGAATTTTTAAAAATTAGTGACGTCCCGTATCACCTTAAAGATATCGAGGACTGTTCTTCAATTGTTGTTGAATCGTTTTGCTGATTGGTGCACTTGGAACATGCTAATGTTGAGCATCCAAAAATGCAACACTACATCGCTTCATCGTAAGCGACTTGAATGGGACAAAAATATTTCTAGAAATTAATCTTCATTGTGGATTCTTGGAGGATTCCAAGAGGGATTGCTGAATATTCCTATTCACAACTAACCAATCAATCCCAGAAGACGTTCGGTGAAGCGCCGGAGAACCAAAGAGGATTTTTTTTTTTAGAATTCCAAGAGGGATAACCAAGAACCTCAAGTGCGATTATATAGAAAATCAAATGTAATTCTAGAGTAAATATTCAAAGTGTCATCCTCAACAGTCAATAGGGAGTGTGTAATTCTCAACCATCCATTTGAAATTTTAGTCTTAGTGATACTACGGATTTCCAAAGCTATTTATGGAGAATCAAAAATCAAATATATTAAATTAAAGAAAATCGTAGAATCTTACTAAAGCATATATTATAAATAATCTCAAGAAAGATTCCATGTAATCCCAAAAGAAATTTCAGATAACTCCAATAGAACGGAAACGGAAACGTCGTATTGAGATGCCCTACTTGTGTGATTTGGTCATATGAATAGAAGAGTTTACGTTACTCTCTCCGAAAGAAAAGCAGGGGAAAGTAGATTAAACTTATTTTATTAATATTGTTTACTCAATTGATTACAAGCAAAAAATATTGAAATAGCCTTTCTTATTAAGCAGCATGATTTCAATACTACCAACCCACCAACATTTAAAAAATATGTATGGTTTAGCTGTATTAGTTTTTCATGATTTATTATATTCTCGATAACACCAATACCATCAAATGGGAAAACAAGTGCAAATAAACGCTTGAGTGATTGATATTTGAGCCTTAATACAAAATGGTAAAGATTTCAAAATCTCGCAATTAATAATCTTTTATAAGCAAAACTACGCCTATGCTTTGCAAGGAAAGGGCTTAAAAAGATTTGTTTACAAAAGCAGATAGGCCCTACTCAATTGTTGGTCGATAATTGTCTGGCATAGTGGTTGTTGTCCATACCAGGGACGTTCAAATCAAGAGTTGAAATTTGCATGCAGGTCCAAACATCCATTTAAGGGCTCCATACACACTGCAATCTGATTGACATCCAGGTTGTGTTGATGTTCGATTGTATCGTGTGGTTGCAGACAAAATTGACAGTTAATCAATCGGTTGAAGTGAAATGAAAGCGTTTTGATTTACGGTGGGCGGAAGTTAAGTCTGCCAACCTGGTTGAAGAAGTCGCACAAACATCGCTTGTATTTTAAATGGGTTGGCCAACAGGTTGACGCAGATTGGCTCGGAAAGGAGATTTGACAACCAGTCGAAGTATCAAGTTGACCACCAGGTTATAGTGTGTGTAGGCTGTATTTGACGTTATATCCACGAAGTAGACTTTCAAAATAATCGTATACATTTATCTTATCTGGGTTAGATGATTCGTATTTCAAATGAATCTACCTATGATGTCGGTTTCCTTATTTTAATTAAAAACAAATATTTCCTGCTAAATTTCCCATCATGATTTCAAAAATAAAATGCTGACTCTGTTGAAGTGATTATTCAAAGTTTCGTTTAACCTCTCTCCCGTTCAATGGAAGTTCGTGGTTTGAAAACGCTCCCATAGACTGAGTAACCGCATGAATGGGGCAATTTTTGCTTTCGCATATCGGAAAAAAGCAATTCAACCCGGCGGACGCAAGCCAACGTGTAAATCATGGTTCGTTTGGGGGCTTACCACACCAGAAGCGAGAATCGCAACGCAGCTGTTATGGTTCGTTCAATCCACCTTTTTCTCCATTCGGATGAGTATCGGTACTGGGCCAGCAGGGCTGTAATCCTCAGCGCCACAAAAACACTTGATCGTCAGGAGGAGCCACGTGGCGGCAGTGAGAAAGAAAGGTTTCTCTGATAACAACACAAAGCTGTTGAATGCCATAAATCTTCCAACTTGCACACGGTCCTGAATTTGGGCACTGCTTCCTTCCATCCCCCCAACCACCCATAAAAGCGATAGCCCATGAGGGGGGATAACTCCGGTAGTAGTTTGATTCATGTTGTCGTTCCTCTTTGTACTCATTCCCATTTATACTGGGACAACTGGGGCAGCATCAGCAGCATAGGAAGTGGTCAGCGAAAAATCTCTCTTTCTCTTATCGGAAGCTTTGGGAGTTCGTTTTGCACCCTTTTTCCTGCTCACCGCTGCTGTTGATAATCCCGTGATGAGCTTCCAGGCTACACGGTTTGGCCACGTGCACTACTCTTGACAATAATTTTCCTGTCAGCGAGGAAATCCGACCACTTAGAGAGCAATTATTGTGCAAATTGGACAGCGCTTATGATAATAAGTTCGCTTCAGGTGTGGACATGTGGATGATTTGTGGAGCTGGATTTTAAGAGCGATGCAAGGTTTTTACATTATTGTAGGGATTTAAGTAAAATGAAGAAAAAAAAAACCCCCACAATCTTACCTTGACAGCTGTATCCATTCTTGTTCAGCTCGAATCCCTCCGTGCAGTCGCACTCGTACATGCCATCGTGCAGTTCGTAGCAGAGCTGCTCGCAAGGACTGCCATGACCGCAGCGCCCTGAAAGTACACAGAAAACAAAACGCTTGTTGAACACACCAAACATTCCAATTAGTGTTCCTGTGGTCCCGCGAATAAACAAAAAAAAAACAACAACAACAAAAGCTAGCAAATCTAAAAAAAAATCAACAGTGCGACAGAGGTAGAGGATGTCATCTTTTGTTGTTTTGAAATCCATTTGAGAGCAACAACAATTTTGCGGAATCAATTTGCAGGCGATGCTATCTTCCATGCGATTTTGTGAAGTGATAGGGACGATATGGTAACCATCGGAACGTCCACTACTACTGCTTTAGGTGGTTCGAGAACAGAGCCGGTTTTCGCTTGTGAATTTCACATGTGTGGGGCTTTGGTCCACAAAGTGCTCGAAACAGGAAACCTATAAATCATGCTGTAATTCATAGAGCTTCTAACAAAAGTTTTTTATCCTTGCTCTGTGTGTGGGTGGGTTTGATATTAGTTTCCTATTTAGTTTTTATTGCAAAGTTATTTTACTGGGTGTAGATCGTTAAGGGTTTTGCACATCCAGTTGGAGTGTGAATTATTATTGAATCGAAATTTTCATTCCTCGCTTTTGGAATTTTGAATGTTTAACTTATTTGAGTAAGGGATGGTTGGTTGGTTGTCTTTATTAAGGAGATTTTCAGCCAGACGCTGATTCAGCCCCAAAAAGTTTTAATAAAGGGAAACGTATAACGAAAGTATCGAGCAAGGACTACTATCTCGTGAAGTGGAAAATCAGCAGGTCAAATGTGATTCTAGAATTTGATGACCATTGTAATTTGAATCGAGGAGGTTCCTAGAATAAAAATAGAAGTAATGACTAGGGTTGGGAGTACCGTAACCGGGAACCGGTAACATCGTCCAAATATACCAAACTGAAATAACGAATTTTGATATGGACAAAACATCGGTAATTCTGATTTTTTTATTTTTTTTTGTTAAAAAATTTTACAATAAACTTGTTTATTCATGTTTTTCATGAACCAGAAATTAAATTTTCATTGGATATCAAACTATCTTATTTCGGCATTTCTCCCTCTGACGATGATGTGTTAGAATGGATGGTACTTCACGTATGAAAAAAGTGGAAATGCTTTCTGCCATGCCCCATATCATACACTTGAAATCAATCTCATGTTGATGCAAATAGTTTGGCTACAGTTTACTTTCAACTGTGGACAGCAGCACAGTTTCGATAGTGCTATCGACAGTTTGTATACCCGACCCTGATGCATTGTTCTATGCGCGCATTGTCTTTGCCCGCAGTTTGGTTGTGTGTGGCTGCTGTTGAAGCAAAAATTGACCACCATTCAAACAAAGCTTTGGAAATGGTGCTGGAAGACCGCCGTTGGTCGAAATTGTTTATTTCACTAAGGCGCTGGCCGTGAATCCTGCCAATCTGGAAGCTATATTTAGAATAGCTGAGGAGAAATCCATGTTCATCAAATTTAAGGCCAAAGATGCGATGCTCCGTACATTGCTGCATAACCCGGAGCAATTAATTTGACATTATGATGATGGAAAGGCAGTCGAGGTACACATGTCAAATGCAGGGAAATACATTCAATATGTTGTTGTTTATTGTATAAGTCTCCTCCATCAGAACGGGAGCCGCTTCCAGTGGTTTCATTGAATTACAGTATCGCCAACGGGGGGCAGAGCCCTTCCATTGCAGTAATGGACGCAAAACGTGGTCAGCACTCACACACTCATCACGAAACGGTTGCTTTCCAAAGTCGACGACGCATCGACCGAAAGAACTGCCGATGAAGAACAATGAGGAGAACCACACAATAGCTGGTGCCAAGTAAACAGACGATCGCGTGACACACATCGAGAGTAGCCTGTTTATGTCGACAGCCGAATGAACACTGATATTCAATATGTGCACGTGTATAATCTGCCACCTGAAGTTCCCGACAAACACCTGGCGTTGGTGCTAGGTAGATACGGTCAAGCAAAGCTCACCGTCCGTAAAAAAATTCCAGTTGACCTGGGTTTCGCCATTTACACTGGTGTACATGGTATATACATTAGACAGATGAAAATTTTGAAATTTTCCCTCCACAGTGTTCAAACGGTTTCAAATCGGGGCCCGATAAGCATCCGAAAGTTTAAACTCATTTGATAAGAAACTGACTTGGCACAAACCATTTAAAGTTTATATGGAAATTACTATGGGAAAACAAAACTTTTTGTTCATTGTATTCTAGCCTTTTGACATATTGCACTTCTAACAAATTCTATTGCTATTCTAATGGGAATTTTTATCAACTACAACTTTGCAGAAACTCGTTTCTTAGCCAAACGTCAAATTAAATAGTTATTAATTGTATAATAGATTGATAATCTTATGGCAAGTTTAAGCAACTGTATTGTGGGCAACACTGTATTCTGCAGTGTGACATAGTAGCCATGATTTTTGTCCTCTATTCTACGCGCCATGAACACCAATGTTGCCTGCTGAACAGTTGATTGAGCATAATCATAAGACATCAGTGACTTGAATCATTAATAATTTTTGTTCTTTACATTTGATCGAAAAGTGGTGTTGAACAAAGTTGTAGCTGAGAAAATTCAACAACCTCCGGTATCATTTTCTAAAGTAGGAGAACTGGTGAATTTTGAGATAGATATGAACCGAAATTATGGTTTCTCCATAGTAATTCCCATATAAACTTCAAATGGTTTGTGCCAAGTCAGTTTCTCACTAAATGAGTTCAAATGTTGGGGAGCCAATTTGGAATTGTTTGAGCACTGTGGAGCGAAGGTGCATCAGTCTAAATAATATACATATATACATGTGAAAAAATAAATTCCTACTACACTACTTTTCCTCAGTCGGAAGGGGAATGTATTCCATCAAGGGAACAAGAACGTGTGTTATGTTTGCAAGATGGAGGAGCACCGAATGAATTCCTACCCCAAGCGGCAGGCTCTGAAGCAGCCAGAGAAGAGCCAACTGGATGAAGAAAAACGCGATTGATGTGATAGCAGTTTGTAAACTAGTTTGTGCCACACCGGACGCGATTGAGCTGCTAGACGAAGGTATAATGGCAATCGACGAGATGACCCCGGAGATTGAAGAAAACAGATTAGAATAACAAGCAAGCGGCAACCAGGTTCAGCAGCGATTCTAATACCGGAAATAGCCGAATAATTTGTAAATGTATGTTACTATGATGCATTTTAATGGAGAGTCACAAAGTCTGTTCCAGTTAGTGTTTGGCCGCTTCTTTTTAATTACTGTAGCGTCTCTACAGTAGCGTTGTCGTAACAAAAAACTGTTGATAGCGTTTACAAGGATTGTTTATTCAGTGGTGAAAATTTCTTCAGGATTCAAACACAGTTATTAAAGATGGAACACGAGAAACTTTCCACAATTATGCACAATCACGTTGAAAACTTACGATGAAACTTACGTAAAAATGGACTTTGGACAAATTCCGGGTCAAAAATGTTACCTTGACAAGGCATTTGCAGTTGTGGAAAGAAAACCAAGGTTTTCATCACTAAAGCGACTATGAATGGACAATTTACAAGGAGAAATGTCTCCAAAGAGCATTTTTCCTTTCATTTAGTCACACGAAGTATCGTAAAGTTCTGGCTCGACTTTGCCAGCTGCCATTTCAGCACGGATGTCATTGAATGGAATAAGCAGAATGTCGAATTTTTATAAAAAAATTTAAAGCCCCCAAAAAGTCCAGATTTCCACACAATCGAAATATGTTGGGCAATTATCAAGCGTAAATTGAAGAAATGTGGCAAAACAATCAAAACACCATCTGATTTGGAGAAGTGGTGGAAAAGGATGGCAGATAAGGTTGACAGTACTACTGTGCAAGACATGATGGGAGGTATTCAGCGAAAATTTTGAAAATTCATCCGAAAAGCTGACGAAAATTTGTCTTGTATTTTTTCCCTTAAAGTTAAATAAAAAAACCTATAAAATGATACCTTTAGCGTTTTTGAATGTCATTTCTCCTTGGATAAATTACTCATTCGAACTGATTTTAAATCATATAAGTTTACATTTTAGATCGTGCTAAGTTATGAGACATTCCATGAAATATTACAGATATAGCATGCGCCCGTCCATCTTTGTAAGCACAATTCGATATTTTACGCGAAAAGGAAGTTTACATGCGAGAATGTTAGCATGCATGGATGTTTACATCACAAGCAAAATTCCGTATCCCATCAACTGCTGTTCAATCAACAAATTATATAAATGATTATTAAATTATAGAGACAACTATTTACAGTTATAAAACAGGTAGAAGCGGCAGAGCAGGAACAAAAATTCTGGAGGACAAAAGCCAAAAGTTGACGCGGTGAAAGCATAGATGGCAGTAGTAGAGTAGATAGCTATACGCCAGGAGAACAAGAGGAGCCCAATAAATGTAGTGCTGACTGAAATAGTGCATAATTTTTCTCGGATTGTTGATGTCTTGCCATGAGGGGCAGTGCAGAGTTCACGGTAAGAAAAAATACTCAAAATTAAGTTTAAAAAAACTCAACGTTGGGTTCTATCATTTGAGGTCCGCCGTTGAGTGAATCAGAAAAGCGGCGTTGGTTAAAATTTACTCAACTATTGAGTAATAATAAATGAACTCAAATATAAGTTTATTTTCATTGAGGTTGCTTTTATGCGCCTTTAACCATTTCATTTTCACAAGCGTTGATAGACGAGTGGTCAACACACGGGCCCCGTAATCTCAACGTACATGGTTCGGTTCCAGTCTGCTCCGTTTTATTATTTTTTTTGTCAACTTGGTCAACGCCAGGATTATTCAAAAATGAGTTTTCTTCTTTAACTTAATTTTACCTAGCCCCACGGAAGCCACGTGATGAGTGAAAGGAACTCAATTTTGGGTACTTTTTTCTTACCGTGTTGACTGTAATTTCAAAAACATAATTTGATATTATTTTGATAGCAAATTGTCAAGTGATGACCTTCCATCGTTCCAAAGACCCGATAATGTATGAATACTACA